TAACTGTGGCAATTTCATTGAATAGAATAATTTTAAATGAATCATATCAGAACATTGAATGTCTATTCATGACGAATGAAAGAACTGATGAATAATTTGAATGTGGCACCATCAACTGACCTCACCTTCCCCTCACATCGAACAATCCATTCGGCTGCTGCCACATCAGCTCCGACCTCTTTTACACGTCCGTGATCGTAACTAGAAAATATTCACTCAATCAGAACGACTGAAGTTGAGTTTTTGAGTTCGCTCAGCTGGTGATCGGATCATAAATAAAAACCGCTTCACATCAGAAATCAATCAAGTGGAAGGCAATCATAGGTTTTTGCTTGATTGACTGGACAGTAAATGGTAAGCAATTTCAAGTTTATTTAAATTAATTCATCAATGATATTGGTACACCCATCGGTTTCGAGCACAACTTTTCCTTCCCGTTCGAAAAGTTTCGCTCGGAACCGATTGGTGTACCAATATCATTGATGTTTTAAACCTGAGCCACGCTATGATTTGCCAGGCTCGTATCTATTATCTAATTATCTGCTATTATTCGTCTATGAATTAATTCAATTGAAGCATCGCACCCTTATGAATCGCAACGTATTGCAACGTAATGATACAAATAATAGTAAGTACGTGCTTTGGACAAGTATCCTACGGTGCGCGATACCGTTTCACGTCCACGCATTTGTGCATTTTTGCAAAGTGATTTATGAATTCAATTGAGCCAATCAATTATCAGTTGAAACTGACTAATTAAAACCCTCGAGCAATCCACGAAGACCAGGCAGATCGTGTGCACCAATCGCTCGTCGGAGACGATCCAAAATCAGCATACGCATCGTCGTCAACTATGAAATTCATAAACAATGATCGCAGTCGGCCATATTCGTTCACGAAAACCGATACGAAGTGGTAATTCATTAAAAAATGTCTTACTCATACAAACCGATGCGAAGTGTTCAAATGCTGAGATGACGAAAAGATTTCCAAAACAATTCCCTCTCAATAACCCATTCACACAAACACTTGATTAAAATTACATCGATGAACATCATTAATTTGATTATCAGCGATCTCATTCACTTCCACACCAATCACACTTAATCGCTTACTACTAAAACCGCCATGCCGACACTAATAAAGACGTTTCAACTACATTTAGGAACTTGTCCTCTTCCGTTTATCAACAAAATTTTATGCTCATTTTTAAGTCATCGGATTGACGGTTGTATTTGGTCCTGTTTCAACTTGCGATCAGTCAAGCAGATCAAGATTTTGTGAAATATTGGAGGGCTGGGTTAGGAGATGGACATTCGTAGGAATTTGGATACTCCGTTCATCAAAAAAATTTTAGGCTCTTTTAAGTCAACTACTTCATGAGAAAAAGTATTCATGAACTCCTTCTCACAATCAACCTTCATGTTAAATGACTGTATCATACAATTACAAGCGACAACCGATTTCGAATTTCGGACACTTTTATTGTTCAAAAATATACAATAATACAGATGTTTAATAAAATAAAATAATAATAAATAAAATACAGATGCTCGAAAAAATTTAAAAAATAATTAAAAAATTAAAATTAAAAAAATATTATATACAATAAAAAATAAAAGGTACATATGCTTCCATTCAATCTGAGAAACAGGCTTGTTAAAATGAATATTGTGGAACGGATAAATCAATTAGTTTTATTAACATTTCCACGAGAAGAACATTCACGAACAATGAATGCAACCGATTCAATTGACAAGCACAAATACAATTACACCCCTCCCCCCACAAAAAAAGAAAAAACACACATAAATATAATTCGGCACAACTCAGTCTACATGAAATACAAAGACAATATC